TGGCAAAATAAATCAAAAATACGAATATTTACATATCTACACATAAACACACTTAAAATCAATAATATTAGAAGACTGCTGATGGAATACGGTTGCATTTGTTACCTTGCTCCTATTTTTCATTTTAGAGCCGCCTAATATTAGTTCTAGATGTAGCGGAGGCCAAATCTATCAGGCTTAATAATAATAACAAATAAATGGAAACTATGTATGCCTACAGTTCAAGTTCTTTACCCAAAGGCCAAAATTTACCTCAGATGAACAGCTTGTCGGGCTGTGCCTTGCTAAATGAAGCCGGGATGTTGTTTCTTCTGGCCTTCTTAAAGGTATCCATTTGTGCTCTCTGCTGCTCCACGATCTCAAAAGGCAGATCTTGATACATCTTAAAATTGGTTTCTTGCAATTGGGGACCTAAAGCAAGCATGCTTTGGCAGTCCTTGAATCTCAGAAATTTTGTTAGAATAGGCCGCGGTTTCCCTTCTTTCTTCTTACCAAGGCGGTGGACTCGTTGGATTTCTACCTAGGCAGCATCAACATAGCCAAGATCCCTTTTGACGAAAGAACATAGCACCAATTCTGTATCTTCTCTGCTCAGGTTGTCCTCTGGAATGTTTTCGAATTTCAAATTTTCACGCCTAGAGTAGGCTTCAAGATACAGGTTGTTGTCTTCTACTTCTTTAATTCTGGCTCCAAGCTTAAGGTTCTCCTCCTCCAGGCCTTTTAACTTCGTGTTGTTATCATCTTCCTTTTTTTTAGACTCTGTGAAGCTTCTTGGCAATCTGCTTCAATTGAATTTAAGCTCTCTTTAATGTCATCAACATCACGTCTTGTGGTGGCATGACAGCTCTCTAAATTTTGCACACGTCCTTCAAGTTTCAAAAGAGTTGCTTGAAAATCTTTCATTGATTTTTCAGTACTGTCCAGTTTGTCTAGCTTCTTTAAAATGTTTTTGAAGTGTGTCGCTAAACTCTTCAGTCATATTCAAGGCAAGTAAACTTATGTGTTCTTCTCTGTCTAGCTCGCTTCATGAGCACGAACAGTGTGCTCGCGGCTTTTCGATTTTTTGCTTTCTAGAGAAGCGTTCGATATCGAAGATTTGTCTGACGAAGACACTAGTTTTCTGTTTGTTCAGTGTTTCTTCAAGAGTTTCGGCCATTAAAATCTGCAGAGCAATTGAGTTTAAGGCGGGGGGCTTAAGAAAGCACGTCTCACTCTGCCATTGTTCCCCAGCGAATATGACATTTAACCTGCACTGCTGTACTTGTATGTACTAAGGGTGACCAGAATGCTAAGATAAAACAAACACTGCCGTACTAGGCATACTAATGTACTAAGCATGACCAGAAAACTACGATACAATGAACACTGCCATACTAGGCATACTAACGTAGACTTTGCTGCACTCACAGGGAATCCTGTAGACAACACCATCTTGTTTAGCCGGGTTGACAGTGTCCTTTGGTCGCATTAAGTGTGACAGAAGTGTCGTGTCGGACTTAAAGACAGTCTGAATGTCTTGTTGTTCTAGGCAGCGGCGGATAGACTCTGAAACTCCTTGGACAGTGAATTTAAGTTCCGCGACAGGCTCTCTTCTTGGGGTTGTTCGTCCCTTTGTGATCTTCTGTACAAAAGAAGAGGGATATCTGTTACAAACAAGTACAGATGACAGATGTTTCTTCTCTCCAGCGATTACTGATGGTTTGGTCACGAGACGTTTAGCCCGGTCATGCAGACACTTCACAATACTGCACTTTACTGACTGAGGGTGGTGTGAATCATACATTAGGTACTGATCAGTAGGTGTTGGTTTCCTGTAGACACTGGTGGTAAGGCGGCCATTAGGTTCTCTATAAACTGATGTGTCGAGAAAGGCGATCTTGCTGTTACTCTCGATCTCCATGGTGAAACGGAAAAGACAGTTGTTGACTGTTTAGGTGTTACAGGCTTTCCTGTTTTAAGAGAGGTCTGATGATATTCCTGCATGTTTTTGATCATGGGTAATTTTTCAAAGTAGACTTCTTTCTTCTCGTTCCACATGTAGAAAAACACTCCAAGCAGTGCTAATGCCAATCAGACACCTAGCCATTGCCTTGATATGTTTCTTTTGAGAGACTTGTAAAGGGCTTCACTTGAATTTGATCCACAGGGGATTGGAATGTTAGACAAACAACCATCATTAATGTGTTTTTTCAGGTTTTCTATTTTCCTCTTAGCTGCTTGAGTCAAAACTTTTTCACTGTCGCTCTTTACGCGGTTCCATTTGGTAAAGAAATGCTCTACGTTCGCCATTAATGTTTGTTTTGAGGGAGTGCTCTTTGTTCTCACTGTTCCTAGGTCTGAAGGATCACGAAAATGAGTTTGGGTTCTTCTTTAACGCAATGGCAAAGGCCCTTTATCCTGAAGCCTTTTGCTCTTTGTTTAGGAATTTTGGAAACAACTCTTTGGAAAGTGTGAAAAAGATCCAGCTTTATCCAAACATTGTCTCCAACAACGTTTTGAAGGGAATTTCTCCATTGGCAGCAGTTATTGATACATATGGATGTGGTGCTGATCCCATTGTTGTCCAATCTTCCCTTGAGATTCTGGAGTGCGTTTTTTACTTTATGAAAGGCTCTACCTCTGGTCAATCTCCAGGCCAGGACTTGTCCTTTTTCATTTAAGACAGTAAAAAGCGAATCAAACTGTTTCACCCACACTCCTTGACACCAAGCACCAATGTTGGGAGATACCTTAAAGGTGTGATCTGCTGATAATCAGACGCACACTGGGAGTACACATGTTCTTGCTCAAAGTAGCAACGGAAGAAACAGTCTGTGATTACCCTTCTTCCTAGAGGCTGAATCTGGCGTTGGTTTGTTTCAGCATTTCTGTTATTGAAGGTACCTTGCAGGGCAGAGTAAAGAGTAGAACTACCTGATAGATCGGAAGCAAATATGTCATAGTACATCTGTCCGAGAAGGCATTCACTGTCAATATGCCTCAATCTCGCATGAATGTGTGACATTATATAATGAAATAAGTCATGCTGTGACATAACTGTGTCATGCGATAACAGCTGGTGGTCCTTGAAGCAATGATAGACTCGACTGACTAAAATTACTGGATCAGTTTTTGTTTCTGGGCAACCTGCCTCGGTTCTGAAAAACTGTCCAAGGAAAAAAATCTGTCCTTGGTTACAGTATGTACAGTCGGTAAACTGTCCTCGGTTGGTGTCCATGTAACGTCCACGGTATTAACTGAGTCTGGGATTCACAAACTGACTTCATTTTATAAACCGTACA